GGACTAGATTTCAAGTCTTACGTTAAGGAGCTGTTCCCAATATTGACCAAAATGACAAAGTAGTACTACTTTGAGACTCTTTTGGGGATAAATTCTGCTTCAGACTAATGCAAAACACAAAGTTCTAAATAACAGCTATAACTGGAAGAATTGAAACCACTTACGATTTAAAACTGAGAATCATTAAATCACAAAAGTAATTGAATTAAAAGTTTTTCAAAATCAAAGACTGAAACAATTAGCAAGGACAGTTTTAAAATAAGTCACTTCCCCAACCAAGGGGATATAAAACACTATAGAAATGTGACATAGTTGGTCATTATCACTAAGAGATGAAAATCAAAATAAAGTTATCCCCAGTGTTAATTTGACAACTCAAAGCAAGTTCTCTCACAACCTACTCCTGTGTTCTCCAACAAACTAAATGAAGATAACTGGGAACTAATTCCATAGAGGTTTGTCTGAGTGCATCTCTCTTTCTCACAAGTGCCTTTCTAGTGATAATGTTATATACTCTGTTTGCAGAACCAGTGTCTATATCTCTTAAGAAAACTGCTCCTGAGATCATTGCAAATCGGTTTCCTCAAAGCATAACAGAACCAAAAGATTCTACAGAATGTTTCTGCGGACAGGAGACCCCCTACGTGACCCAACTTCATCAGGTAAATCTCATCAATTTTTAGAAGAGATATGAAAATGTTTATCAATTGTAGGGTTCAATTCCTAACCCAGGGAAGTGATAATTCACTGAAGGGAAGGGCATTTTCATCTCCTAACTAAGTAAGGAAAGGCTAACTAGTTGACTCATGGGATAAATCTATGAAATTTTAGTACGTAATTTCTTTTATGGAATCTTCAAATATGTCAATGTCATTCTAGTCTCCAAAAATGTAACTGTGATTTAAAGATGAAGATTTTTGATCTACGAGGGGGTGTGTGGTTTGTCCAGAACTCTACGAACCACCAATGTTTTCAGGACTGAAAAAGCATTTGGTGATTATATGAATCTGGCATGAACATGTACACACACACAGCTTATAGCTAAAGAGGACAACTAGTTAGTTTAACACTGAAAATGTTAAACTAAAATTCTCCCTGACAGAATGTAGAGTCATAGAATGAATCTGCAAATAGCCAGAATGACCACTACAAAGAAGTACTTCTGGATGAACCCATCTGGATTAAGTATCCAGTGCATGACTGTCTAGTAACTGATACACCAATTGTACAAGATAATATTATAACTCTCAGGTATTCTGTTATCTCTGAGACTAAATTTATTTATTTTTAATTTATTTTAAAGAAGGAAAGCCAAGAAAGGGGACACTAATGAGTGAGTTACTACTAGGAGCAACTGGGGCTCATCCCTCTGGGGACTGTGTAGAAATAGTTAGAACTGTCTCACAGAGAGGCAAAGAAGTTGGAGTATTTTTCTAGCAATTCCTGAACTTCTTGGTCGAAGGTTGCTCTTGGGGTCTTAACTCCACAGCATGCTCTCATTGCCAGGGAAAACCATCAGGAAGAGAAATGCAGTAACTGAATGTACAGAACTGTCTGTAGGTAGGGGCACTGAGAGTTTCGAATTTCCTTTCCCTGGCTTATTACTTATGTGACTTTTATTCAATTTACTTATCTATAGAAGCATGGTGATAATAATCAAAACTTACAAGGTTTAATGAGAATTAAATGACAAGACATGTATGTAAAATGTTTAGAAAATTCCCAGGAGCAGACTTAATAATATGATTATCATATTATCCCTGAGATTAAATTTTTTAGGTCAGATTACGCCTAGACAAAAACAGAACCAAATACAATGCAAAAATGACAGAAACCTCACCTTCTAGATTCCATGTTACAGGAAGATAATGTAAAAGAGATAAATTCCTTCATCAAAAAGGGAAAAAAAATCAAATCTTGTTGCTGTTGTTTTAAAATTAAGCATTGAGGGGAGGGGCATGAGGAGGTAGAGCCTTCTGTAACAGATCACACATGCCAGCGTACAGTGCATATAACTACAGTGTATATAACTCTACTGTACATTACGCTATCACAACCTACCTAGTTTTGACAGTCCTTATTCAATGCCATAGAAAAACATTAGTTCTTAATCTTTGACCCCAACCTACCAATTTAGAGTAGCAGAAGATTTTATCTGCTAGACGTAAAGGAGTTTGATTGTTCTTCCAATCAGAATTGGTTTCCCAAAGGGTGAAGACTTTTGCAAATTTAAAATCTTCAGTTGGATAGGATTATGGACAAGAACCAGCTCTCTCAGTGCGTCTTAATGATTCTATGCCCACACAAGGAAAATCTTAAATAGTTTTCCACTAATACGTTTGTTCTCCAGAACCTACTGGGTTTATTGCCACTGTTGTTGAAAATATCACAAGGTCAATTTTCAACATCACAGTTTAACAAGGACTTGTTTGGTCAAGTGAGCGGCCTAACAGACTCTGTTTAATATTGCTCTATTATCATATAATCACATTTTTATTGCCTTTGTCTTGTCTAATCTCATAATTCTTTCACATAAAAGCCAACTGTAGAAAAGTGCATGTAACTAGGAATCAAGTTGTATTCATTAAAAGAAAATCAGCCCCTTTTTCTTCAGACACATATTTTAAAGAGGAGAGATTGGGGACTGACTTTCTGAGTTATTTTAGCTAAAAAGTAAATAGTTAAGAAAAGACGATTCAAGGTTAGTCCATATATTTCCCACAGACCACAAGGCAACTCGAAAGATCCCTAGTTTCTGCACATCTCTTCCCATGAGAGAATATCCAAAATAACTTATCCTAAGAATGTTATAAACTAATGTTGCTCTGGGCTACTATATAAATAGATTTTAGTTTTTTCTTGGATTATATATCTAATCCTCTCGATAAATGTATTTTAAAACAAGAGCTCTATTATGGTCAACCCACAATTATCCAAGATTAGAGTCATTCAAATTAAAAATATTCTTTTTGATTCATCCCAGATTCTAAATTACTCTCAGCTCTTAGTAAACAATGAGTACACAAGATGTGAAACTCAAACTCAACTATCTGGGACCCTGAAAAGAAGCAAAAAGACGACTTCCAATTTAAGTTTGGTGAGAGAGAGCCAATCATTTGGAATGCATTTAAACATGTTGCTCCCTTATTACCAATAAGTGTTATTGCTAAGTTCCTTAACTTCCAGAAGTTGTTGCTACAGTAATGCCTTGTGGAAACTTTGTAATACTTTCAGTGATAATGTGGAACCTAGGTTTATCTCTCTTAACCCAACGGAATTTTTTACATCAACTTCCAGCTAGGTGCGGTAGCAAGAAATGTAAAGATAATGGAAGCAAAGTTATTTTTTAACTCAAAGGGATCTACCAATTTTTCAAAATCAATGTGTATCCTGCCATACAGGAACTACTCCCCTCTCCTTCTTTTAAAGAAGGGGTTACTTTTTGGCACTCTTCTTACCACCAGCCTTTTCATTCATTATCTAAAACGTTTACCAAGGAATCTTTTGCAGATTGATTGCTAATTCATTGCTAAGGGATTCACTAATCCCTGTGATCGGTTTATTTTCAGTTAATTTATATAAGATCTTCAACTGGTAGTTCCTTTTGAACACCAACTAGTCCTGTTTCCCTCAAGTTCCCCTACCTATAACTACCTCCAAATCCTCAATCTGCTCAATAGCTCTGCCCTTGCAAGCAAACAAAAGCTTGTGGTGTTTGGAGGCTCCGCACCAACATCTCAAGGTGCTGTAGGTCCTGGACCAGCAGCCACCCTACACCAGCCTATAACAAGAGCAGCTCAGGCTCTGGGAGAGGAAAACCAGCAAGCAGTCGGGAGGAGCACGGACCACGCTAGCCCAAGCGAACCCGAGCCTTACAAACTGGTCAGACTCAAGAGGCATGCACAAACTGGAGGAGGGGAGAGGGCACCTAGGGAGCATCAGGGGTTGGGGGGACAAGCTAAAGTCCAGAGAGGCAGGGTGGCTCCCCGAGCACGCCTTGGCAACCTGGTCGATGCCACAGGCAAGTACCGGTCCAGGTAAGAAAGGTCTGGCCTCCTGGCCCTCAGGAGCGCGCGAGGTCCCCAGTTCAGGCCGCGGGAGGCGCCTCGGGCAGATGGAGAAGCACACGCGCCGCCACCCCCCCGCCTCACCCGGCTGCTCACCGGTGCTGTAGCCCCACGAGTCCCAGAGTGATCACATGCGGCACATCTAGCTGCGTGGGCCACTCTCCTGAGGCGATGCACCCGAACACGCCACATTCCTCTCGGATCCCCAACTCCTCCAGCTCCATGTCGCCGCCAAAAGCACGTGGAAGGACCTGCCGCTGCAGCAGGGGTCTAAGCACTAACCACCCGCCCGCTTGGCCCGAACGCCTCAGAAGCTCACGCCCGCGAGAGCTTCTTCCTTCACAGCGGTTAGACCCTTGCTACTGCGGCGGCGCGAGCTTTGCCTGAGCGAGCGTGATTAGCTCCCCCCCCCATCACCCTGCCCCGCCCCCTCCGGGCCCACCAATGAGCGAGGACGGAGGGAGAGGCTCTGCGGCTGAGGGCGGAGTCTCGGATTCTGTGGGGTGGAGCTAGTCCTCCACCAGAGGCCTAGGGGAACTGATTTTTCCGCACGTGGAAATCTCCGTTATTTTCCAGCGCCTAATGCGGGGGTGATGAGACTAGCGGGGTTAACATCATTTCTCTCCCAGAAGATATAAACTTTGCGTGCCCTCCCCACAGGCTTTTCCCCGCCCGTCACTACTTGGTACGCTCCAATCTGTGACCTGCACGCGCTGCGGAAATGGGGCCCGGGTCGCGAGCTGCTGTAGAATGGGGAGGGGCTTCCAGTGCGCGCCACATTTCACCTTTCCTGCCACAGCGCCCGCGCGGGCGGGGGGAGGGTCTGCGTTGCTGCGCTTGCGCGGCGGGAAACCTCAGGGGAAGCGCTCGCTGCCGGAGTGTAAGTTCCTAGGTGTCTGCGGAAAGGCCCAGGGTTGTGCCCTTGCTGTGGTGCTGGCAGAGAGCGCGGGTGGGCGCTCCGGAGGCGTGTCTGTGAGCGTCTCTGGCCACTCCTCTTTTCCAGAGTCCTGCCTCTCTTCCTAGCGCGGCCGCGGCCCCGAGCCCACGCAGGATCATGGCGACTGCTGAGGGTGAGTAACAGGCTTCCATAGGAGTTCGCCGGGGCCGCCCTGTCCTCCTCGGTCTTCGCGTCCCCCGGCCTTGAGCTCGCGGGCTCGCGCGGACGGCATCCTTCCTGGGGCGGTGCTGGGTCTTCCTGCAGCGGCGCCTCTAGGCGGCCGGGCGGCGGACACGTGGCCCAGGTTCCGCCGAGAAGTGCGTTGAACAAAGCGCTCCCGGGCCTCTCCGAACTTGCTGCAACACCCACAGCTGCCCCCGGGATGGGGAAGAAGAACGAGAAATGGCCAGGGGTTGGAGAGGTGCCTGGAAATGGCGTTTGTAATCAGTAGATATTGTAAAACAGTCACAGGAACCTCTAGTGTTGACTCTTCAAACCAAGGTCTTGCTTTTCTTGTTAGGTTAATAGTAACCCGCTGTTCCAGGAAGTTAATAATTGAGCCTTCCAAAAATCTTGCTGTTTTCTGTCCAGATTTTGTGTGTGTTTGTTAAAGTAATCTTTTGATGCCATGATGGCTGTGGAGAGCTCCAAAACCACCAGGCCAAAAAAGTTTTCCTTGCTTCAGTGTGCATTTATCATGTTTACTTATTTACGTAATCATTTTGTGCGTGAGTGGTCAGATCCTCGAGAACGATCATTTGTGCCATTTATGCTGATAAAACGTTTGTTTTTTCCACACACTCAATTTCTAAATTTGTGGTGAACCAAATTGCTGGTGTTGGCCAGTCAGTACGTTCTCTTCCACATAGAAAATTTGAATTTAGGTAAAAAATTACAGACTAAACAAAAAGATCCAGATGATCACGAGTAACAACTCCGTAAAATCAAGGTATTAGACCAGAATTTTTCCTGCCATACCTCTAAACTGGTAAAATCTCTTAGTTTTTGACTCTTCCATCGTACGTATTCTTGACAGGTTAATACTTCTAAAATTTCACTTTCATGGTTCCTAAATGGCACTTCCTTGCTCAAAAATGTTCAATAGCAATCTAAGTGCTATTAAAATCCATTCTGAAGACACTTTCATTCACATCCTGCGTACTGCTTGCTTCCAACCTCTTCAGCCCTAACTTTAATTTTTCTCTCTTGTGAATCTTAAGCTACATTCCAGTCAGGTTAATTCAACAAGTTTACTCTTCTCTATGTTTATTATACTGTTTCTTCTAGAACAGTCCTCTCTAATAGAAATATAATATGAAACTATATGTAACTTTGTTTTTTAGTAGCCACATTTTAAAATGTAAAAAGGAACAGGTGAAATTAATTTTAATGTATTTTATTTAACCTGATATATCCAAAATAGTATCATTTCAACATGTAATCAATATAAAAAATTGGAATATTTTGCATCCTTTTTTTCCATATTGAAATCCATTGTGTATTTTACACTTAACTCACATCTCAATTTGGAGTAGCCACATTTCAAGTGTTTCATAGCCACATGTGGCTAGTGGCAACCTTATTGCACAGCACAGTCCTAGATGTTCTTACCTCTTCTGTGGAGGTTCTTTACTTTTCAAGACTCTAACATTTCAATTCCACGAATTATTCTCAGTCTTCAGCAGTCTCTTCTGAATTCATCTATGAATTTGTAGCAGGCATTTTGGCACTTGTAGCATATGTGTCCTATGATTGTTTCTTACGTTATTTCTACCCATTAATTGAAATTCCTACCCTATTTATCAACTACATAATAAATATTGATTCAATTAAATAGGGAGGGAGGGGCGGGAGGTACAAACTTTCATTTGCCTTTTACCTAACCTAGGCAACATCCTTAACTCTTTCTTCTCTCTCTCTTTTTTTTTTTTTTTGGTGAGAAAGATCAGCCCTGACCTAACATCCATACCAATCCACCTCTTTTTGCTGAGGAAGACTGGCCCAGGGCTAACATCCGTGCCCATCTTCCTCCACTTTATATGGGACGCCGCCACAGCGTGGCCTGACAAGCGGTGAATCCGTGGGGGTCTGGGATCCAAACCTGGGCCGCCAGCAGCAGAGCGCACACACTTAACCGCTGGGCCACGGGATCGGCCCCCAACTCTTCCCTCTCTGTTATCCTCCATATTGAATCAATTGTTCTTAAAATGTTTACCTTTTAAATATCTTGAATCTTTTGCCACTGCTTTTTACTTAGACCAGGACATTTCTTGCCTTGATTGCTGCAATAGCATGCTAACTGCTCTCAGTCTCTAGTTTTCTTCCACCCACCCCTTCCTTATTTCATTCTCCACATAGCACTCATAATGATCTTTTTAACACAGAAATTGGTCATTTTACTAAAGTGCTCAGAAGTCACATGGAGAAAGTCTGAACTCAGTCAACATGCTTATGAGGCCTGAAGGATGAGTATTGAAATGGGAGGTAAGGGAACAATGTTTCAGGCCTCAGGGAAGAGCATGTCAAAAGCCTGGGAGGGAAGATATAGAAATTCAGTTATGGAGGGCCGGCCCTGTGGCTTGGTGGTTAAGTGCGCGCGCTGCGATGCTGGTGGCCCGGGTTCGGATCCCGGGTGCGCATTGAGGCACCACTTCTCCGTTCATCCTGAGGCCGAGTCCCGCATACAGCAACTAGAAGGATGTGCAGCTACGACATACAACTATCCACTGGGGCTTTGGGGGGAAAAAAATAAAATAAATAAAATCTTAAAAAAAAAATTAAAAAAAAAGAAATTCAGTTATGGAAGTTGGAATTCTAGAAAGGGAAGAGAAAAATCTGAATTTGGAGCACTAAGCTGGGGCTATATCTTGAAGGGCCTTTTAAACCTTGTCAGTGAGTCAAGCACTTAGAATAGGAGGATGGGAATTCATCCTCTAAAATAGATACCCTGTAGTGGCAACTATAAAACTGAATTGTAACTGGTTTGTTTAATGGTTATCTCCGCTAGCTGGTGATCTGACCCCTGCCCAACTCGCCTGTCTTATCTCCTGCCCTTCCTTTCTGCTCCTTAGCGGCTGCCCCCTCTTCCCTGCCCAACAACAATGTACACACACACAGTGCTCCAACCATACTGAAATTCTGCCATGCACTTTCACCCCATTTCACCCCATAGTGGTCTTTTCACCACCACTACCTACCCCTTCCCCTCTTCTGGCTAAATTGTCATCATTCCTCAAATCTCAGCCTAATCCTCACTTTGTTCTAGACTTCCTTCTCTGATGTCTAGACTAGGTTAGGTGGCCCTGCTATGAACCTGTGATCCCATAGTCTGTGTATTTCTCATGTTATACTTGTTATGATGTCTTATTTAATTTCAGCTCCCCTCAGACTCAGGTGGCTTGAAAGCAGGAACTTGGGCTTGTTTACTTGTTTATCCCCAGTTCCTGGCACAGGGACACTAAAAAAATGCTAATACTGAGAATGAGTCAGTGTTCTGGGAGAATGAGGGGTGATTTCTCCCCTTGGAAATTTTAGGTTTAACTTCTGTTATTTCTGATCTTCATCTAAATCAGTCTTTCTAATGACCAGGGTCTACTTTTCTTTAGGTCTTAGGACCTGCATCCAGATTGGATTCTCTTATCCTTACTTCTTCAACGATTTCCTATAACTGTTAGCGAAGGGAAAGGATTAATGGTAGGGGGGTGGGGAAGCAGGATTAAGAAATAGGAAGAGGTGCTTCCAAATGGACTTCAGTGGATGGAGGTGCCTCCTCTGACACATTAACTTGAAATCAAGAAACCCATCTGGCTGAACTTTCCCATTTTGCCTGCCGTGGAAAGCAGGAATCAGGAAAAATTCAGCATTTTTTTCCCTGCAAGCTAGTTTAGTTATTGTATTATGAGTATATATAAGAAAATACTAGTGTTGTTACATTAATTTTAATGTATCTTAATTCTGCTTCAGGTCTGCTATGAAAGAAGCAGGTTGGTAGTGGAAAGAACATAGAATTTGATATCAGAAGACGTAGGATTTTGTCTGGCTCTGCCATTTCGTAACTGCATGACCTCCACCTTTTTTGATACATAGTTTCCTGATCTCTATAATTATTTGTATAAGTATAATTCTTCATAAAATTGTGTGACTCAGATGTAATGATGCATGTGAATTGTAGAGTGTGCGTAGAGTAACGCTCTATGCAGATGAGTTAATTTTTATTAAAATTATTACTTAATCACTCCATATGTTCACTGCTTCATCATTCTAGATAATTTAGTCTTCAATATTCAGGAAATTTCTTCCTGAAATTTGATATTTCCATTTTATTTCCACAGTACTGAACATTGGTAAAAAACTCTATGAGGGTAAAACAAAAGAAGTCTATGAATTGTTAGATAGTCCAGGAAAAGTCCTCCTGCAGTCCAAGGACCAGATTACAGCAGGAAATGCAGCCAGAAAGAATCACCTGGAAGGAAAAGCTGCAATCTCAAATAAAATTACCAGTTGTATTTTTCAGTTGTTACAGGAAGCGGGTAAGTGGCTCTCCCAATAGCCTCTCCCTTAGTGTTCTCTCTCGCACATATTGGTCCTTTTATGGGGCAATGACATTATTTGAATTAAGAACATGTTCATTACCAGTTATGTTTTTCACTTGTTACAGGAAGCAGGTAAGTGACTCCCCCCGCAACCTCCTGTCTTTCACGGGCACACACTCTCTGATCTCTTTCATGGGGAGATGACATTTGGATTAACAACATGTAGTTTGGGGATGTTTCACAAGCTAAGCTTATTTAAATCAAGCCAGGAACTCCTAAATTTCACTGTAACACTTTACTTGGTTTAGAATTAGTAAGTAGTATCATTTAGTTAGTAAAAAGGAATCTTAACAATCTGCTGTCTTTGTCTGGCACTGATATCTTCTCTGCAACTTCTCTCTTCTACAATCTTCAGTCTTGAGGAACTTACCTATGAAGGAAGCCCATTCTCATGTTAGGCAGCTGAACTGAAATTTAGTCCCTGTAATTCTATACAATTATTCTTTGCTCTGCCCTTTGGAGATAATGAAGAATTTCAAAACCTTCGTCCGCCTGAAAGCCCTGGAAAGTATTTGAAGACTGCAACCACACCTTCTTATCCTGCCATTCCACAAGTGAGAGATTTGGACTAGATCAAAGATCTCCAGGAGTTACCTCCTACTCTAAAACTGAATGAAGATTATTTCCAATAGAGAATTCTATTCGAAAGATGAAATTAAGATCAGAACATTGTGTGGAGGGCATAAGGAGTAAAAGAAGGGCAATTAGGATAATGAGTTTTTGCAGGGATTTAGTCAGTAGCTGATTGGTCTGTAGTGTGTGAAATCTCAACTAGTAAAAAATTTGAGCTGTTTCCCTCAAGAGGCCTCATGGCTTTGGATCATGCAGCCTTTAAAGCCTCTGGTTCCTTATCTATAAAATAAAAGCTTTGTTCCTTATTATCTTCATTCTAATTTTATAATTTAATAACTTTATCTCCTTTTACTTCCAATATTCCAGTTGCCCTTTCATTTCGTAGAGCTTCCAGTAAGCATTAATCTTTCTTAAATTAGTTTTTAAATCCAAAGTGGAATTTAATAGTTTTGTTTCTAGTCAAGATACGTGTACCTGCCTTCCACAAAATAACAAGAAACTTCAAGTTAAATCCATTGTCACTACAGAATGGGTTCTTGAGTAGTTTTGCCTCTTCTAAAGTACCCTGTTTCACATTTTTAAGTTAGTGTGAAAAAATAATATTTAATTGCCAACCTAAATTGTCATCCACATTATAAATCCTTCTATGCATCGAAAGTGAGTGTATTGCTATAAATTGAAAGGACCTCCCACAGTTCGTAAGTAATACGATCCAAAATTTTTTTTTATTTCAAGGCTTCCTTGATTGGTGGTTTCCCAGTGACTGAGTAGATTTGTAGAGAGAGCATCAAACTAATTTTAAGTTTCTTTTACAGTACAGATAAAGTGATCCCATTTTTGACCTCCCAAGTTATCTCCTCCCCATATACATTAAAATTTTAAAAAGTTGCTTAACCCTATAAATTAACAATAAAAAAATTAGCTTCTATGTGCCCATAGTAATTGTACATAGCTATGGGGTTATGTATATATACTTTCAAGTAATGGAAGATAAGTACAGACTCAAGTTTTTATTTGCTTATTCAGTAAGGCACTATTCAGTGCATTTTCTGGGGTTTTAGGACAAGTGAATTAGGGTGATCCAAGTTGTCTCTGTTTGTCGAGGACTTTCCTAGTTTTGACTCTGCAAGTCCCGTATCTGGGGAGACTGGGAAAGTTGGTCACCCTAAGTGAAGTACTCTAACAGTTATCGTTAAAGTACTGTTTTTAGCACACTTAACATAGCTGAAACTTACGTGGTTCACAGGAAATGTTGAAAGGTGTTTTCCAGGTTTTATATACTGTGAAATAAAGGAAAACCTAAGTTTTTAAAAATTCTTCAACAGATTAGTTTTAGGGGGCAGATTAGGAGTTCTTATGTAATTTTACTCGCTAATGGTTAAATAAATGCTATATCTAGCTGACCACCAATGGTCTATTTAAAACTGCTTTCTTTATAACCAGGTTATGTTCCAAATTTAGTGGTTAAGTTCACTAGTATTTCCAGAAATTAAAATAGAAAGAGCACCAGAATAAAATCAGTAAATTAGGATTCTAGTTTTCTCATTGTCACTCAAGAGCAAACTGTTAAAATACTGTACAAATAATACATATGGGTAATACTGTTTTTCCATGGAAAGGATATTTTACAAGCTGTACCTGAGTTCATGAAATTCGTGGATTTGGTTTCAGTACTTAAAAATTGAAATTTAACCTTTTAAATGTCAGTTCCCCCACAGAAATGCACTGTAATTACATTTAGGTGTGATGGTAGTGCTAGGAATAACAGTCCTGCAGTTGCTAAACCACAGATGGGGAGCTGGGCAGCCCTAATACATGGGTGGCCCCAGGGATATGTGGGCTGATTAGCTATCATACATGGCCATGCAATTCAGAGTATGAAGTGACATTTACATTTTCTTAGTAATCTTGATAGGAGTTTTGAATTTTGTAGACAAATGAGGGGAGTTCTTTTTCTCATTGTAAGCAGTCCTGAAATTTGCTTTAATGGTTAGCATGTGTATTAGAAGCAATTACTATATCATCTAAACTGAATCTGTCTTTTAGAAGCAATTTTTTTTTCTGTATGAGATCATTATCATAAGTTGATTTTGTGCTTTTGGTTCTCTTAGATGTGGGGGAGGGTTTTCCTTTGAGCAAAAGTAACTATTGTTGGGGCAAGCCCAGTGGCATAGTGGTTAAGTTCACGTGCTCCGCTTTGGGGTCCTAGGGTTCACTGGTTCAGACCGCTCATCAAGCCATGCTGTGCGGCGTCCCATATACAAAATAGAGGAAGATGGGCACAGATGTTAGCTCAGGGCCAATCTTCCTCAGCTAAAAGGGGAAGATTGACAACAGATGTTAGCTCGTGGCCAATCTCCCTCACCAAAAAAAAAAAAAAGTATATATTTAAACAATAGATTTGGATACTAGTCTGTCAAGCATGATATACAAATGAGCAAATATGACTAATGATTAACAGACCTAAAAAAGAAGAGCTCTTGAAGCCGGGTGTGTAGTCACCACCTCAAGTTAAGGATTGATATAAATCACCTGCCAGCGCATAAGCCCTATCAGTCATTAAAGGTTAAAATGACCATTTTACTTGTACTCTTTAACATTCTTTCCCAGAGTTCCTGTTCATGAAGCATACCACAATTTACTCTTTCCCCTGTTTGAATTAAACCTTACTGGTCAAACCCAGAGGGAATGCAGAGAAACCAGTACAGATTTTGGAACCAGACAGTGCATTTCAAGTCGAGGCTCCATTAACTTTTTTTTGCGTGTGCGAGGAAGATCAGACCTGAGCTAACATCCGATGCCAATCCTCCTCTTTTTTTGCTGAGGAAGATTGGCCCTGGTCTAACATCCTTGCCCATCTTGCTCTACCTTATATGGGATGCCGCCACAGCATGGCTTGACAAGCGGTACATCGGTGCGCGCCTGGGATCTGAATCCTCGGGCTGCGGAAGCAGAGCGCGTGCACTTAACCGCTGCGCCATTGGCCCAGCCACCCAGGCTCCATTACTGATTGGCAGCATGACATATCTTGTCAAAGTTCTTACCTTCTTTGAGCCTTGGCTTTGTTCACTGTAAAGTATAAAACCTACCTCAAAAATTTTATGTATGGTTAAATGAGGTAACATGTAAAACACTTAGCACAGTGCAAGGTTTCCATAAATATCGGTTCCCTTTATGTATGGAAACATACATAAGATCAAAGATCCCCAATCCTTCCCTGGTAAAAAATTGATTTTAGAAGACTGGATTGGGATTAGGGTACTAACATTACATTCTGAAGATGAACATTGTTATGTAAACCCATACACATTTGCAGGAGATGTTTGCTTTTTTTTTCTTTTTTGTGAGGAAGATCAGCCCTGTGCTAACATCTGCCAATCTTCTTCTTTTTTTTGCTGAGGAAGACTGGTCCTGGGCTAACATCCGTGCCCATCTTCCTGCACTTTATATGGGATGCCGCCACAGCGTGGCTTGCCAAGCAGTGCGCGCCCAGGATCCGAAGTGGCGAACCCTGGGCCGGCCCCCAGGAGATGTTTTAATTCATGTTAATGCTATAGTATTACTTGGTACCATGATGTAATAACACTTCTAGGAGAGGCAGTATACTATAGTGGTTATGTGGGCAGCCTATAGAGTTCAGACACTGTGGGTTAGAAACCTTCCTTTACCTAGTACTAGCTGACATAACAGTGTGCCTCAGTGTCCTTATCTGTTTTGCTGGATGATACTCACACTATCTACCTTGTCAGGTGTTATGAGGATTAAACAAAAAGAAAATGAATTTACAATACCTGACCTGAAGTAGGTCTTGATACTTTTTAAAATTAAATTGTAGTAAAATATACATACATAAAATTTACCATTTTAACCATTTTTAGTTTACTACAATTCAGTGGCATTATGTACATTCACAATATTGTGCAACCATCACCACTATCCATTTCCAGAATTTTTTCATCATCCCAGACAGAAACTCTGACCCATTCAACCATAATTCTTCATTCCCACTTCTCCCCAGCCCCTGGTAACCTCTATTTTACCTTCTGTCTATGAATTTGCCTACTTTAGTACCTCATATAAGTGGACTTGTACAATATTTAGCCTTTATTTCACTTAGCATAATGTTTTCAAGGTTCATCCATGTTGCAGCATGTATCAGAATTGCATTCTTTTTTATGACTGAATAATAATCCATTGTATGTGTATACTACATTTTGTCTATCCGTTCATCTGTTGGTGGACACTTGGCTTGTTTCCCCCCTTCGGCTATTGTGAATAATGCTGCTGTGAACATTTGTGTAAAACTATCTGTTTGAATTCACGCTTTCAGTTCTTGTGGGTATACATCTAGAAGTAGAATTGCTGGATCATATGGTTCATGATACATTGTGACAATTATTAGAGAGGTTATTTCCAAGGCCACCACATAAAGTAGCTCCCATCCTGAACATCACAAGTCAGCTCTTTACCTTAGTTTTCCAATAACAGTTGGAGCAAGAGAGAAGGAGAGGGAATGGCAAATGTTTTCTTTGCTCTTGGCCAAGTTGGCCACTGTGTTCCTGCTGCTACCTGTTGGATGCTTTTTTCAAGGATTATTGGCTTCAAATATTAAGAGAAATAAGCTATCTAAAATTTAGGGCTGTATTTGATTGTGGTAAGTATGTTGATATTTTACAAGGCCCGTATTATACAGAACCATAGAATATAGAATCCTGCAACCAAATCTGATTTAGAGATAATTTACTGCCACTTAGATAAGTTAAATGCTTTGTGCAAAGTTAGGTATACAGTGGCAGAGGAAGTACTCAAGTATTTTTTGAATGAATGAATGAATGTTAAAGTCACTAGACCCCAGATCTTCTGATCCAGTATATACTTTGTGATACGACATTAAAATGAAATATTCCTGAATATTTTGATAAGCAGTAGAAAGCCATATTAATAATTTTGTTTTCCTACCTCTACGTTTTTTTAAAAATTACATTTATTTTTGATAGTGCCATTTAAGGGTAATGCATTTGGCTAGATAGGATTTTTTTTTTTTTTTTGTAAAGGGTAGAGTTTTATTATGCCTCAGATCTATCTTTTTAAATACAATTTTAATGTTTTTTTTAACTTTATCATCAATATGTAGGCATCAAAACTGCTTTCACCAGAAAATGTGGGGAGACGGCTTTCATTGCACCTAAGTGTGAAATGATTCCAATTGAATGGGTTTGTAGAAGAATAGCAACTGGTTCTTTTGTCAAAAGAAATCCTGGTGTCAAGGAAGGATATAAGTTTTACCCACCTAAAGTGGAGATGTTTTTCAAGGTAATTATTTTATGCTTTTGTGTCTTACTATAACATATCAACAAAGTTAAAATCACAAAGTCAAAAGAGTTAAACATTATTAGAGCTTTTGATATTGCAATTGTCATTCTAGAAATATAAGCGAATAATGTGCACTAGCAATGATAATTCAGATTTTTAAAAGACAACATCTGTGAAAATCTACTTATCTTACTTTGAACCAAGATGACTAAAAAAATGAATAAATTAAAATTAGCAATTACTAGGAAGAAGAGAAAAGTAACAAGTCAAAAAATTTTGGAATTTATTGTTGAAGAGTTTGAAGTAAAGGCTAATATGAGGGCTCTGTTTATATTCAAATACAGAAAAACTTTATTATCAATGTCTCATAAGCAAAAACATAGACAATGTAGGATGTAGGGATTGGTGGTTGTGAATTTGTACTGGTTTTCTTTATTGAAACTGCTTTTCTCTTTCTGTTGTTTATGCTGTTAAACATAGTTCTACTTCAGAAGCAATGTCAGTGTTGCATTTTTAATCAGTGAACTGCACAATTGAAAGCATTCATATTATGATTATAAAATTATACAAATCAAGAATCCATAATAAAAGAAAAACTTCATGTAAAGTTGAGACACTACTTAGAATAAAATGAAAGTATTTTATTTTTTTACTAATCTCTTTACTTTGTATGAAGTCTCTTGAATTATCAAGTAATGTTTCTAAAGACTTGTGGTCTTGTATAAATTCTTATCAAAAATAAGATTAGGAGGTTATGAAAATGGCATCTTGAAAAGTTTGGTGGACTAAAATATGTTTCGGCCTTCTTAGCATCTCTGTTGACACTGATTAGAGAAAAATAAAAATCACAAACTTGTGTTTAAATTAGTTTATAGAGAGTAGATTCTTTCACTTTATGACCTAGAATAAGTTACTCATCCAAATATTTTGAGTTTTATATATATATATTTTTTAATTTTATTTATTTATTTTTTCCCCCAAAGCCCCAGTAGATAGTTGTTATGTCATAGCTGCACATCCTTCTAGTTGCTGTATGTGGGACGCGACCTCAGCATGGCCGGAGAAGCAGCGCGTCGGTGTGCGCCCGGGATCCGAACCCAGGCTGGCAGCAGCAGAGTGCACGCACTTAACTGCTAAGCCACGGGGCTGGCCCTATTTTGAGTTTTAAAGTAGCTATAAAAAGCAGAAAAATTAAAAATAATTGCTCTGAATTAAAGGTATTTTAAACAAAAATTAAATCTTTAAAGAAAATGAATATTTCTGTCGAATTCATGCTCAAGGCAAAAAGGACTTCAGGTTATCTGAAAAGTTAAAAATTTCTATATTTAAATTAATTGTACTCCTATACTTTATTCTCAGGATGATGCCAATAATGATCCACAGTGGTCTGAGGAACAGCTAATTGCTGCAAAATTTTGCTTTGCTGGACTTATTATAGGCCAAACTGAAGTGGATATCATGAGTCATGCTACACAGGCTATTTTTGAAATACTGGAGAAATCCTGGTTGCCCCAGAACTGTACTCTGGTCGATATGAAGGTACCAATAAAATGGAGATTTGAAAAGGAAGACTATAACTGAGAAATGTCTTTAATAGTATAGTTTTGAGAAACTTTTCTTTGGTGATTTTCTGTTTCTAGATTGAATTTGGTGTTGATGTAACCACCAAAGAAATTGTGCTTGCTGATGTTATTGATAATGATTCCTGGAGACTCTGGCCATCAGGAGATCGAAGCCAACAGAAAGACAAACAGGTAGGTAATGCTTGAGGTTTTTTTATCCTTTGCAAGATCAGGCTGGGATTGGAGGAAAAAGGGAAGATGGCAAGAAAAGAAAAGACAGTTATTCTTATGATATGAACCTGAGTTGATTGCTATTTATTTTTAGAGATAAATATCTCTTATATTTCCTGTATCCTAAAAAAAGATAGGAATAATACTTTACATTTATAAAGCAGATTTCTCATTTATTATTTTAATAGATGCTCACACAGAGCAAGTAGTATCCTTGTTTGGCTAACTGAAAACTAAGGCTCTGAGAGGATAGAGATCTTCACAATTGCATAAGTAAGTGGCAGATCTGGAACTCTATTCGAAGTCTTCTGGATCTTATCAGGTTCCATATCTACTCTTTCCTGTAAAAAACAAAATAAGGGCAAGCCCCTCTATTTTTAATAGATAAGAATTTTCAGGGCAGTTAATTGTAGTTGGTAGTATAGAAAGCACTTGTCTTTAAATGAAAATGTAAGTATACTTCACTATCTGAACTTTTTCTAGTCTAATTCAGGATATCAATTTGTAGACTCAGATACATTCTTTACTATGCTAACTCTTCCTAATCTGTACCCCAAACTCAGAAACCAAATAATTTCAGATAGGAAGGATGTTACTAATAGAATACTTGTATTCTAAACTTTCTATTTTATTTTCTAGTCATATCGTGATCTCAAGGAAGTAACTCCTGAAGGGCTCCAGATGGTAAAGAAAAATTTTGAGTGGGTTGCAGAAAGAGTAGAGGTACATGTTTTGCAATAAGTCCATACTGTATTACATGTTTTTCTCCAAGAAAATCTTGCTTCAGAAAGAAAAAATGAGTGACAGAGTGCAGTGCCTTTTTTTCCCCAGTGACTTTAAAGATTAAAGAGGACCTTTAAGAAATGTACCAGCTGAACTTGCCTCACTGGCATATGGAACCCCTTCCTGTTAAGCTGGCCATTATACTACTCCCAGATCCCGTTGGGGAAACCTGGAATCCTTGTCTCCTCCCTGCCCCTGCAGGAGAAGCTTTACATTTCCCGCCCACAACACTGCAACTCAGAGTTCCATTAGAATGGGTTCCATTAGTAGAGTTCAGACTGGAGCTCCATGTGACGTGAAAATGTCACTTTAAGATTTATGGTATTATTATTACTATAATTCCTTGGAAATTGAATGGGGTTTGTGGTTATCTGAGGGTCATAACGACCTTTTTAGAACATCATTTCCATGGAAATATGCATTTTGAATTCCAAGCCACTAACTTACAAAGATTTATAACATGACTTTTGTAGTTTGGCTGATTATGCCTTAAAACCTCCATTAAACAGAATGTACTAAAAATCTAAGGATGAAATATTTTATATTATAGCTTCCTGAATATTAATTAGAAGATGTGAGTATTTATCTTTGTTTTTTATTATAATAGTAAACATAATTTATCTGATTAAAAATCTTAGTCTTTAGGTCTTAATTATGAAGCTGCTTTCCTTTATATATAGAGGTTATCTTGAAAAATAACTCCTCTACCATTTTGTTCTGTTTGTCTCTGTCTTAAATTTGGCCTAAGAAAGAAAATACTCTGTGTAGATGTAATTCTACCATAAACTATAGCTCTGTGAACTGACTATTATTATGGTACTCATGCCTATATTCATTTTTGTCCTTATCTTCTTTTGCCTATCCATGTTTTTCTTTTCCAGTTGCTTCTGAAACCAGAAAGTCAGTGCAGAGTTGTAGTCTTGATGGGCTCAACTTCTGATCTTGGTCACTGTGAAAAGATCAAGAAGGCTTGTGGAAATTTTGGCATTCCATGTGAACTTCGGATAACATCTGCCCATAAAGGGCCAGATGAAACTCTGAGGATTAAAGCTGAGTATGAAGGTAAATGTCAAATAACTAGAGCATCTCAGGAAGTTACCCTGATTTTGCCAAAAAATTTGATGTTTAGGCTAATGATGCTGAAAAAGAGGTTTGCCACATTTCCAAGGGAAAAAATGTTTTATTCTAGGCTTTCATGATACTCATTTCCAGAGAGTTTAAGGTGCTCTAGGAGCTTATAAAAGAAGGGATCAGGGAGAAAGAATTGAAAATTCAAGCATGGAAGGAAAATATAGACTAGAACTAGTCTTTACTTAAAAACAAGGCCCTCAAGCATTGTTTCTAATACACTCCAACAGAGACTAGGCCCCACATGATTTACGGGAGGCCTGAGGTTGAAGCAGCAGATCCTCTCAAGTATCTTGAATGGCTAGCCTTTCCTGGGAAGCAGTCAAACATGAAATTAAGGAATAATTGCAGAATTCAGTATATAAAAGAAATGTCTTGATGGGATAGCATTGATCTAAAATAATGGTGCCCTGGAGACACAACCGAATGTTTCTCAACTGGAAAAGGTTTTGATTGAATGTTCCTTCCAAAGGTAGTCGCCACAGGAACATAGTTATTAAAATTTTTTGTGGGGGGTGGGGAGTGGTCTCACACCCCTTTGATAAGCTAATAAAAGCCAGAACTCTTTCTCCAGAAAAATGGAGATACATTAAATTTTGAATTCCAGATAAGGCATCTCTGCTGTAGGAAACAAAGGAATAATTTATAAATTTATCAAAGAAAGAAATGTTTAGAGATATGTTAGAAAATATATTGAAGGATCTTAAATAGTTGGGTACTATATTATTGAATTTGCCTTCAGCTCTTGTTTCAAGAAGTCCTCCTAAACCCTAGTCTCTGTTAACTGTGTCTCCCTGAAGGACACCAGGACAGACACTGGTTCGGGTGGTGTCGTTCTTCGTTGCAGTGAGCCTAAGCGGCAATAGTAGAGGGGGCCTTTGAGCCATTCCCTCACTAACACTCTGGTACTCCCTTTATACTGTAGATCTTGAAGATGGCCGGACCTATTCTTGCTACTTTATTACTTGACATACAATAAGAGGCAGAGTGAACTTCATATTTTGAATATATATGTAATAATAGTGTCTTATTTAATAGTGTCATATTTAAGACACATAGTCCCTTTTGTTATTAAAGCTGTCTTTAAATCTCTTTTGAATGTTTAACAATTAAACTGATTTCCCTAGGGGATAGCATTCCCACTGTGTTTGTGGCAGTGGCAGGCAGAAGCAATGGTTTAGGACCGGTGATGTCGGGTAACACTGCATATCCAGTTATCAGCTGTCCTCCCCTCACTCCAGACTGGGGAGCTCAGGATGTATGGTCTTCTCTTCGACTACCCAGTGGTGAGATACATTGAATTTTTAAAAATTGTTTATTAAAAAATTTCAAACACACAATAGTAGAGAATAACATAATGAAATCTCATGTACCCATTACCCGGCTTCAACAATTAATATCTTGTTTCATCTGTAGCCCTCTTCTGGATTATTTTAAAGCAGATCTTAGACATTATAGCATTTTATACTTAAATATTTAAGTAAGGCTCTAAGTGATAAGGACTGTAGTTCTTAAATCATGATTATGATATCATATTCACACCTAAGAAAAATTAATGGTAATCTCTTAAAATCATCTAATTTCTAGTTAGTGTTCAAATTTTTCCAATCATCTCATTTGTTTTTACAGTTCCTTTATTCAAATTAGGATCCAACACAATCTTTACATTGCATTTAGTTGATATCTCTCTTAAGTCTCTTCATCTCCTTCCTTTTTTCCTCTACATTTGCCCTGTTTAATTTTCCACATTTTGAATTTGGCTGATTACATTCCTGGATGTTGTTTAACATGCTCTTCATCCCCTATGTTTTCTATAAACTGGTGGTGAGTTCTGTAGTTAGATCAAGTTCAGATTTGTTTTTTTCCCCCAAGAATACATCATTCATGGTATTGAGGGTTTTTTAAGTAAATTTGATTATGTTACTTCTGTAGAGGGAATGAAATTTTATTTTAAAAAATTAAGGACCAGAATAATTAACGTAAAAGGAAATTTTATCAATCAGCTGATTGAGCAGAATCTCATAGAATAACAGTATTGTGGTAGCCTCATCATGGTCCAAGATAATGATCTGATCTACAAGTCCTGAGAGTCAGTATTGTTTCTAAGAGTTGATTTGCTTATTACTTAAACACTAAACTTTTCTCATAGTTGTGTAAATCCACTCTTGATATGTGTTTAGTCTTAAGTACTTTAGCCCTCTGATCTGTTACAATATGGACTGGCTTCTCTATAGGCCTACTGCATGGCTATTTTCTTAAGATCTCTCTTTACTATCATCCCAGACATTCATTTTGCCTTTCTTTAGTCTTGGATCTCTTGTTTCCTAGGTCCCATGTCTTCCCCTTTCTTGATTTACTTCTTACTTTGTTGGAGAGCCTTCTTAGTGAACTCCTGAGGAAAGGTTACGAAAGGCAAACTTTTTGAGACCTTGTATATCTAAAAAGTTTTTATTGTAGCCTCACACATACTTGGTAATTTAGGAATAGAATTCTAGGTTGAAAATCATTTTCTAGCAGAATTTTGAGGGCATTACTCCATTGTCTTGTAGCTTCTGGCGTTATTCAGAACTCCATTGCCTTGCCACCATTCTGATTCTAGGTCATTTATGAATTTTGTCTCTTTTGGGAAACTTAGAGGATCTTTTGTCTATCCAGTGTTAAATTTCACAAAGGTGTGTCTTGATGAGTCTGTTTTCATCCTGGGCTTTCAGTGGGCTCTTTTAATGTGGAGCTCTGCTTCTCTAGTCCTGCAAAATTTTCGTAAGTTAGATAATAATCTCCTTTCCCCCTCCATTTTCTCTCTTCTCTCATTTTTGGATTTATTATTCAGATTTGGACCTCCTTGATTTCTATTCTGTTTTCGTTCTCTTATTGCTGTAATTTCTGGAATATTTCCTCAACTTTACATCCAAAACTCTATTGAGTTTTTCATTTTGTATATAGTATTTTTAATTTCCAACAGCTCTTTTTTGTTCTCTGGTCTCCTTCGCCCCCTAAACATTCTTTTCTTGTTTAATCTTTGTAATAACATCTTTTATCTCTTTGAGATTATTATATATTTTTTCACGTTAGTTCCTTTCCTCAGCTGTCTGGTAATCTTTGGCTCTTTGCTCTTGTTTAAGAGTGAAACTGTAAAAAACCAATTGGAGGGTCTGTTCAAGTGGGTGTTGCTTGTCAAAAGTAGGCTCCACTGTGGGGTGATCTGGTAGGGTTTTTCTTTGAATAACCCCTCACATCAGTGTCTTTCGATCATTTCTCGTGTGTTGACCAGAATTACCCAGAACCTTTCCAGTCTCAGTCTGCTCCCTGGAGGAATAAACGTGGTCGCCAGCATTCTGAAAGCTGGGGATCTTAACATATGTGTGTAAATTTGATCCCGTTTTCACTATGGCACTCCTTGCCTTAACTGTGCCTGGTGTCCTCCAGTCCACAGAAGTCTGGACTAAAGTCTGTTTTACCTTCAGAAAAATTTAAAACTGCCATAGTGCAGAAGGGGCAATTGTTCAGGCACATAGAGTGGGGAAGGGGATCTAGTGGCCTCACTGCTTCTTTTCTTTTTTCTTTTTTTTTGGTGTGAAGAAGATCAGCCCTGAGCTAACATCCGTGCTAATCCTCCTCTTTTTGCTGAGGAAGACCGGCTCTGAGCTAACATCTGTTGCCAATCCTCCTCCTTTTTTTCTCGAAAGCCCCAGAAGATAGTTCTCTATCATGGTTGCACATCCTTCTAGTTGCTGTATGTGGGACGCGGCCTCAGCATGGCCGGAGAAGCGGTGCGTTGGTGTGCGCCCGGGATCCAAACCCAGGCCGCCAGTAGTGGAGTGCCTGCACTTAACCACTAAGCCATGGGGCCGGCCCCTCACTGCTTCTTGCTTTCACTCAGTCTTTTTAGCCCCATTTTCATCCCACTCCTCCTTTCAGAGGTATCTGGTGCCAGTAATTCCTCAACCTTTGAGTGGGTTTTGTAAAGTCAGTCAAGTTGTTTCTCATCTTTCCCTGCTTCCAGGTTAGGATTAAATTTTCTTGGTCTGCTAAGTTAGTTACCACTCCATTTGCCTTTCAGGTGCCAAAGTGTTATTGTTGTTATCTCTTTGTTCTTGTATGTTATGTCTATTTCTTTATTCCCTTTACTGTTGTTCTTATACGACTTCAGAGATACATCTTGTGATTAATCCATCTTTACCTAGACATCTGATGATATCAGCTTCCCAAGTTAGAAATCTACTATAGCTATAAATGAAGCTATAACCAAGTTTATGCCAGAGGAATAGTATAGGCATTATCCATGGAGCTTAGAAAAAGGGAAATGTGATGACCAAAAATTTGGCAGTTTTTATCTAGTACTGTCCAAGGAGAGACAGGGAATCTGGAAGATTTATACATTCTAATCATTGGAATTGGGGATAATCTTCTGAGGAACAGTTTTACAGTGGCCTGTGTAAAATCCTGAAAACTCCCTTTCTCTTTTTCTTATAGCATGCTCACTAGATAACTTCATTTTTTGCTAATTAAGCTTTCCTGATGTCAAAAAGGGCGTCCTGGGCTGTAGGCACTGGAGTGGAACACTCTACTTAGTATACTACTATATACTAAGTATATAGTATACTAATATAGTATAGTATACTAATATAGTATATATATTAGTATATAGTATACTAATAATAATGGTTGACATTCACTGAGTACTTACTATGTGCCAGGCAGTGCTCCTAGCATGTTATCTGTATTAACTCATGGAATCCTCACATAAGGTAGCTACTAGTTATCATTCCCCTTTTACAGATAAGGACAATAAAATTAAGTAACTTGACCAATGTCACATAGTAAGTATTGGAGCTGCATAAATTAATTTATTAATACAAATTAATAAAATGACCTTGTGATTTGTACTTTAGTCTGTTCTTTTTGGGGATAGTGAGAGTCAAAGAGCCTGATGAATTCCAAGAATATTGGGGAAGTTCTTCCTCAACTTTCTTCCTCTACTGTCTTTTAGATCTTATTATTTTTGAATTTATCATCTGATATTACTTAAAATTATTCTTTGCATTTGACTTTTTTACTGCTTAAAAATGTTAGAATAGTTCAAGTGCAGGGACTAAAGGAGTAGGTATAAAATTATTAAAACAATTAACATACCTCAAGTTTGTCTAAGAAGAGTGCCTCTACCCACTTACCTTATCCTTTGTTTTATTTCTACTGCTTTTCACCAGGGATTTACAGGGGATAGTGTATGTGAAAAGAACTTTGAAAAAGGTAAATTTCTTTGCAAATGGATTCAGTGAGAAGAGTGATAGATGATATATATAAAATATCTGTTCATGGCAGGTAAATACTACTTATCCTCTTATAATCACTTTACCATTCCCACAGAAAATATGGAAACTCCTTCCACAGATCTTACTTTAGACAAGGGTAACACAGTTGCTTTTACAGTCTGTGGCTAACAGGACTTCTCTGAATATAAAATAGTTTGCTACATGGTATTTTCATTACTAATTGATAGTTCAATTTTCTGTCTTTTCCTTTCTGAACCAATAGGTCTTGGCTGTTCAACCATACTTTCTCCAGAAGGATCAGCTCAGTTTGCTGCTCAGATATTTGGATTAAACAACCATTTGGTGTGGGCCAAACTGCGAGCAAGTATATTGAACACATGGATTTCCTTGAAGCAGGCTGACAAGAAAATCAGAGAGGACAACTTATAAGAAAGAACATCATTGCATTTTTTAGGCGAAAAACTATAAATTTCTAGTTTAGCTACAGGAAAAAAAATCAAGAAGATGAAAAGATTTTAAATCAGAGCAAACAAAATTTATTATTAGATAAATATTTCTCTAGATTCATGGGTTAGTAGAATATATGTACAAATTTATTAACATTTCTTTATAAGTAGTGAAATTATTCCAGTGGTCCAGCGGTTAAGATTTAGCTCTCTCATTGGCGAGGCCTGAGTTCATTTCCTGATCAGGGAACCACACCAACCGTCAGTGGTCATACTGTGGCAGCTGTGTGTTGCTGTGATGCTGAAAGCTATGCCACTGGCATTTCAAATACCAGCAGGGTCACCCATGGTGGACAGGTTTCAGCAGAGCTTCCAGACTAAGACACACTCCAGACTTCCAGACTCAATAGAACTAACAAAGTGAAATTACTGTAAGGACATTTTAAAATTAATCTCTTTTACCCACTATATGGTCATTGGTAGGTAGGTAACATAATGAAATATATTCCTTAAATGCTTATAATGCCCTGTTATACAAGCTCTGAAGTTACTACTTGACCTTCTGTATCTCAACTCATAAGTTTTAGAAAGTTAAAATGGTTATATCTTAGAAAGGGTGATAAAAGCAATACAGTCCTCTTTCACATTATCTTTATAAAATTCTAACGGCATGGTTTTTTATTTGCAGTCAGTATCAGAAATGATGTATATTTATCTCTAGTTAGAGATGATGTTTTGTTTTGATTTTGCTTTTTTTTAAGAAAAGCTGAGGCTGGCATTAGAGATAGGGAAGGCACACTAAGTAAGATGAAGGGGCACTGTGGCAGCCATAGAAAGGGGACTATGTGGAGAACTCTGATGGGTGTAAGGACAATTGCCCATAGGAAAAAAAGTAGAGTCACCTTTCCCATTCCAAGTAAAAGATTTAGTACATCTTACAGGGCTATGGTGGGTGCCTCTGTGGATCATAAAATTCTTTTAATTCTGATAATAGATATTTTAGCCACACTAATAATCCCCAGCCTTCCATCATTTTCAGAAATTGGAATCTCCCAGTTGATAACCATAACTACTTTCTTTTAATAGTATAAGTCTGGGCAGTGTACCCAGCAAGATTCACTTCTAAAGGAGCAGTTGTTTCTGAGAGATTGACTTAGCATCAAGCTATAAACCATATTTGGAAATCACTTACATTATGCAGCCCTAAACATTTTATAGATCACTAAACTTTAATCAGAGGGTCTATGAACCCCTTAAACTTACATGTAAAATTTTATGTATACGTTCACTTTTATGAAAAGGGGACAATTGTAGTTTTTATGAAAAGGATCTGTGTCCCCCAAAATGATAAGAATCTGCTACAGATGAAATTTCAATAAAACCCTTGCCACTGGCCTACACTGTCTACACTTTTTCACCTCCCTCTCAACCATTAACAAGCTAGCATCTCTTACCACTTCTTTCACTTGATCTCTGGTGTTATGATTGACCTAACCACTCCTTTCTTGGGCTAGACACCAAGATATTCCAACCCCTATCTTGATCATTTCTCTTATATTACTCTTTCCCCTTATGTATTGATGTTTCCTACTATTGAGTTGCTCCACTTTTCACAAAAGTTTGAGTACCTCCATTTTACCAGATAACTGTTGGATGATCCTAATTCCTTCAGTTAAAACTAGCATTACTGACTCTCAGTTCTGTGTCTGTAGACTTGTATTTTCAACTGTCCATTTCTCTCTGTCTGAATACTCCAAACTTAGTTCATCTTCCACCAAGCCTATAGCTCTGGCTACACTCACTGTCCCAAATCAGAGGCTTGATTTCATCCTTGAAGTTTTTCTCTGAACTTTCACATGTAAGTCATCACGAAGTCTTGAATTTAACCTGTTTACCCATCCTCTGTACAAAAGCCTCAAGCAGTCAAATTCTACATTACTAGCCTGATCTAGAAGATCTTCATTCTCAGCCCAACCTTTTTGAAGCTGGTTGGCCAAGGACCTACAACACCAACTCAAAATCTCTTTTGCAACATAGACTCCTTTGAAAATATGAATGCCATTGATCCTCTCCCTAGAAAATTGCACAAAAAATTTACCAACAGATTCCATTGGTTCTTGGGTTCCCTTGAAGCCTTTCCATGGGTTAGAGGGTACAAATCACTTATGTAACCCATCAAGGGAACTGGCCTTCCTCATCATTTTTGGACTGTCACATATCTGTACCTTTAGTTCTTAGAATGTCCTCATTTCTGTCATTAAAATCTACTTGTTAATTACTAGAGTTTCATCTTCACCGTGTCCATGAAATCTTCCCTAATCACCTCTAGCTACAGTGGCTACAAGTAGTTCTTTCTGTGTTGGACTGTAAGCTCCAAGAGAGGAGAAAATATCATTTTACACTTTATTTCCCTCACATTGCCTTATGCTCTGCTGTGCTATGCCTAGCTGTCTGCCAGAGATGGGGGAATTGTAAAAATCATGTACTGCTTAATTTTCTATCATATGTTCACGAGAACAATTAAAAAGGTTTGATTTTAACATCTTTAAACTTTGGCTTCGTGGTCTCTGAATAGTCACTGGCTGCTATTTCAGGTCTTCTGTCCTTACCTAGCAAAAATTCCACCTGTTTCTGTGTAGTACATGAAAATTTTCAAACACTGATTTAGACCAGTAGACAGGACTGACCATTATCAATGATCATTATCAGTTTCACTATTAGTTTCTTATTAGAGTACATATATCCTCAGTAGTAGTAATTCATCAGTGCTAGAGTAAATACTTGTCTGAAAATATTTAAACTGTATTCAAAAAGTAACTTACACAAACATACCTGGTTTGCCATCTTTGGGTATTAATAGGACTCTTGTAGCTAAACATAAAAAGGGGAAGAAAAATTGTGTCCAAATAATGTGGTACTTAAACTTTGTATCATAAAGCCATGCTTAGAATTGCTATTGCATTAATGCCTTCTGAAATTTAAACACTGCAGCCAAATAAAAGACAAAGATAAGCTCTTGTGTGAAGCTTTATTCATTCATCCATTCGTGAAGTACATGTTTTGTGTGGTTTTATTGTAGGCCTTAGGAAAACAGCACTGAACAGAGACAAGGCTCCACCCTCACAAAACTTACATTTTATTAAGGATGACAAACCATAAAAGATAAATCAGATAGATTCAGGGAAGTATACACACATGAAGAATAACCATGGGGAGAGGATAGTGATGGGGAGAAGAGGAATGATGTCAAAGATAGGGGAACAGCTTTCCAGACTAAGGGAACAGGAAGTAAAACAGCTTCACCTTTTTGAGGACCTGCAAACATGCCAGTACTGCTGGAGCTCTGTGAGCAAGGGTCGGAGTAGGAGATGGTGTTGATGTTAAGCAAAGGCTAGATCACTTGGGGCCTATAGGCCACACTAAAGTGACAGGAAAAAACCATTGGAAAATTTCAGCAGGGACATGACATAATGTATTTAACGTGTTTGAAAGTTCTCTCTGGTTATTGTGTGGACAAGAGCAGCAGCAAGAGATTGGTTAAGAGGCTACTGTAGTCCAGGTGAGGGATGATGTGACCTTCAACAAGTTATTTAAATTTTTTGTGCCTCAACTTCCTTACGTGTGAAATGGGACTAATAGTACCTACCTGATAAGGTGGTTATGAGAATTAAATGAGTCTATACGTAAAGTATCACCTGGCACATAAATGCATTATGTAATATCCATTTGGCAGACTGTAGAGGATGGAATGAATGGAATTGATTCACCATGAAAAATTACCTTGAATTTGATATTCCCTTCAGCTGATTTAATTTCTAAAAATGGGAAAAAAAAGGCAGAGAGTATAATGTGGCTTAAAAGAAGCATGGCGTGCTATGGAACATCCAGTCTCTCCCTGCCATGTTTAGCCCAGCAGTTCTTGGAAAGCCAATGAAAATGCTTGCTTTTAATGGTGCTTTTTGCATTTAACTTCCTACAACCTCAAATACTCAGGGTGGAGTTGTTAATCTAGCATTGTAGTACAGTGAAAATAGCAGTGGAATGGAAATTAAAAGATTTGCTTGGTCACATCCCTGTTTGAGCTTAAGTTCTCATTTGTAAAGTCGGGCTAAATATTTCTTCTGCCTGCTTCAGAGTGGACAAAATGACAATATAAGGTAGTGTATATGGAAGCTTCTCAGAAATCATAAATCTATTAGTGCAAAAATAAGTTTTTGAGTACTTACTATGTGCAGTACCCTGGGGATGCAACAATGAACAAGATCCAATTTCTGCCCTTAATGAGTCTTGGAGTCTTCCAGGGGCAGACGATTTCAAACACTATCATCTTAATATGGAATAAAGGATAGGGTATTCTAAGTACACAAAGGAAGAACTCTAACTCTATCCTTAGTTCCTCATACCTTTCCTTAATTTTCTTCATAGAATTTACTACCACCAAACATAGTATATATCTGTTTATTGCCTCTCTCTCCCAACTAGAAAATAAATTCCATGAGTACACTGGGTTGTCTTTTTGTTGTTAATTGTATCCCTAGCTACTAGTGTAATGCCTGACACCAGCAGACACAAGGCACTCAATAAATATTTCTTGAATGAGTAAATGTGCACATACCAAGAGGTATGGCAACACGGAACTACACATAACTAAATAGGAGTATAACATGCAAGGGGAGTAACAAAAGACCTATGTGGGTTGAGATGGTGGCAAGCAGAGGCTAGATCACAAAAGACCTTATGTACTAGGCTTTGTAGTTTGGATTTTATCCTGAGGTTAGAAGAGTGGAAGTAGATATATGCTTTAAAAGATCATGCTGGTTTGTAAGACTCCTGTGTCAAAACTAGCTGACTAAATCCATATATTTGGGGCCAACCTGGTGGTGTAGTGGTTAAGTTCACTTGCTCTGCTTCGGTGGCCCGGGGTTCGCAGGTTCAGATCCTGGGCGTGGACCTAGACACTGCTCATCAAGCCTTGCTGTGGTGGCATCCCATATACAAAATAGAGAAGGATTGGCACAGATGTTAGCTCAGGGCTAATCTTCCTCACCAAAACAAACAAACAAAATCCATATATTTATATGCTGTTTGCCACAAAACCCCATTAAAATGACAGAAAGTAGAAACATAGGAATCCATAGCAGAAGAATTCTGAGAAAGTTCTAGAAGCTATGAAGTATATGGGATCAGAC